TAGGTACTGATGGGGTGAATCAAGGTTGCAATGTAGTTTTCAAAGAAACTATTTGCCGTAGAAAAAAATATCCTGGTTCTCTTGAAAATCAAAATAATAATAGTAATAACATCAACAACCACTTACGAATCTCTCTCTAGGATTCCTGGGGGGCAAATCTACGTTAAGGGGAATTGTTTCGCATCACTTGGTCTATGCCCAACTTCACCAAAATGTCTTTTATTTTATCCACTTCAACCAGTATGGGTCATTCGGGGATGGAGAGCCAGGAGGCAAGCTTCAAAAACAGACTTGCCTCACATGCACTAAATAATATGAAGACATAAGCTCTCGACATAAGGTCTGGACTAGCACTTACTCAACACATTAGACTTAAGTCTGTATTCTGTAACTTCTCAAATAAGTCAACTTTAGATTTAAAAGTTATGAAATATGTGTATCACTAATAGTTGTTTGAGCATTATAAAGTGATTGATATTGGGGGAAGTAGCTAAGTCATACATTCATTCATAATGTTACTTTATTGTTCTTTTATGGTAACATAAAGAGCAGAAAGTCACGTGTACATGCACAAATTTAAAGCATTCAGATATGGATGGAAAACTGCCCACAACAGCCATTTCTGTTATTTAAAAATTAAGAACATTAAAAATTATTTTTCACTTTCTTATGAAAATTTTAACTAAGCTATTTTACACTATTATTTTTGCTAACAATTTGCATGAGTTAGTAAGAGCCCTAAATTTTTACCTTCTGTTTCCATTATATACTTCCAATGAATATAACAATAATGAATTCCTACCATTACTACTCATTATACTGATTACACACTTTTTGTCTTCATTATTATCACTTATTTCTATAAGGCTAGTCAAAATACCCACTCAATGAGAGCTATCTATAGAGACAATTTTTTTGTATTTGAGCATGTCGAAAACAACCAAACAAAAACCCCAAGTATTGCAAAGTACTAAGGGCAGATGAAGAGTTTGAGGATCTTTAGACATCTAACCAGTTCCTATATTGTCACCAAAATTTAAAAATAGGTTTTAAAAGATGTTACATTTATAATTAAGAAAAAAAAAAAAACTGGAAAAAATGGGCATTGAAGCAAAGAAGATTTCCTGAACAATGAATAGATTACATTTGACAAGGGCATTAACCTGCCCAATCACGTCTTTTGCTCTCATTTGCTATAAATATACAGGCCAGCAGGAACACAGCTCATTGTTTTGATTCTCAGTACTGTTTAAGCTTCCCAGTCTTATCTACTACATTGAGACATATGGTAAAACATTCCCTAGATTTGGAGGATTTATAGATCTCCCACAACGGATGAGAACTATCCCCTAGTGCTTGTAAAATATTCTAAATCAGATATTTAAATTCTCCTTTTAAAATATTTTTTATTTTAAGGGATTGTTTTCCCAAGTGACCTATCTTGGTTTCATTTTTTAACATAAATATTAAAAAATACAGTTTCTCTACTCAACAGGAGAAGTGTTTTAAATACAGTATAGATTTCTGAAAGTAAGATTTATACAGTTTAAAGAGAGCAGTCACAAACACTTGGGAAATTAAATTTACATGTGTATTCATGAAATATAGCCCGCCAAGCTGTATCTGTTCCTATTGCTACTTCCTTAATGTAGTTTTTATTAAAAATAATTTTCTTCAATGCTGGCTGAAAAATCCCTACAGCATTTTTCTCATTTTCATAACACCATAAGGTCAGCACACTTTATTAAATAGTTATTGAGGACGTTAGAAAAAGCAATGCTATTTATCATAAATATTTGATAAACATGTTTACATTATCAATACATTCAATATTATATAATATACCAAATATTTAGATTAGCTTGTAAGAACACAATTGATATACAAATCTTGCGTAACCCAATTACAGATGTTATTCAATATCAGTAGTCTTACTCCTTTTGGGGAACTGGCTTCTGCCTAGTATAATGACAATGATTTGAAAACTAAAAACAGCACTTCAAACAATGATTTGTTTGAGTATCAGAAATTTAATTGAACAGCAAATTATTTTGCAGTATGTTGAATAGAAAACCTAGCAATATTTGTTAGCTCGTTCAGTGAACAAGGAAAAAAACAAAGGCTGGCAAGAATTTAAATAAATGTAAAGGAAGTGTAATTCACACAAACTTCAAATATAAAGCAAACAAGCTATGAAATTCTGTGTTGTCTTCTAAAATACACTAAACAATTTCTGTTTCAAAGGGTCCTTTTTTTCCCCCAGAGAAGAACTTCTTTTTTACAGACACCACTCAGGAGTTTAGCTTAGATGAGGGGGAAAAGACAAGGAAAAAAAAAAAAAACTCAGGGAAGACTTCTATTAACTCAGCTAAGGCTAATCTGTTGCATGTGTGGTTTCTACACTAGTGAGTAACTTGTAGGAAGCAACACTGCAGCTGAATGCGTGAGAGCTGGAAACTGTTCCCCTGGGTATGAGATCGCAAAATGACTTTGCCACATTCGCTCTCCAGCCTAACACCAAGGCTCTGGCAGGAACACAACCACACGCCCCCAAGGCAGATTCCTGTCTTTAGATAAAGAGCCCTGGGCTCCATCGTTGTCCTTGAAATCTTTGACCAAAAGCACACAGAAGCAGCTTAACCAGGACAAATCAGCCCATATTCTCTCTGTAGATTTTTTCCCCAGTTGTTTGTGTTCCTTTGCCTGGTAGGCTCTGAATGACTATGTTAACTGTGACCACACAACTGGATGAATTCACAAGTTTTCCCACACTTTTACACCCAATCTATTTCAGTATGGATTTACTGAGTCTACATTATGCAAAATAGCTTACATTATTTACTTTTATCCTACAATGTTACAATAACTATTCTGTGCATATAAATTCCAGAGAAACTTTTAACAGGATTTCAGTTAGTCCTTAGTTACCTCTGTTAGTTAACACTTCAAGCAATATCCTACTTTAAAGTACGTAATGCTAAAATCACCAAACATACACAATAATTATACAAACCTAGAGCAGTAACCTCATGATTTCCTAACCTACTCAATACACGCAGGGAGGGTTCCAGTTCATTAAAAAATAAATAAAATAAAAAACCTGCTATAGGTGGCTGCCACAAGTTACAACTATGTGTTTTGTTGGATTGGCAAATAAAAGGGCAAAACTAACTACCTTCAGTGAAGCTTTTTCGCCTTAGAAACACAAAAACAGAATAGTATTCCTCCAGACAACATGATTTTTCCATTTCCAGATGCTCATAAGAACTTTACCCCTGAAGCTGGACATTTATTTCCACTTAAAAGGCAAACAAACACTGTTGCTAATCTAGTAACACCCCCAATCCTAGGCATCATTGCCAACTACAATCTCCTTTATATTAACTTTTCACCATGTATATAGTAAATGATTCACAATTCATATGGTTTGGGGTAAAGGCAAAATCCTTCCTGAATTACATATAATAAAATGTCAAAATTGGGCGATGGCACAGCTTAAAAGAGGTTTTGTTTCAGATTCTATAAAAGAATAACATATGCTGCTGTACAATGGTGTGGAGCTTTTGTGCTCCCTAATAAGACAACTCCCAGCAGAGCATTTCCCATGCTTTACAGTGACATCTATCAGCCAGACCCAGGGAATCCCAACGTCACTCAGCTTTCTTCAGCACCACCGTCTGAGAACAGCTTCTGTCCACAGAGTGGTGCAATCCTAACAGGTCTCTGGCACCCAACGTGCACTGTTAAGATAAGGAAATGGTGGATGATCATGCTCTTTCCTGTCATTAAAACCAAATCATTAGATATTAATTAACTGCAGGATATGAGTACCACAAATGCCAACCAGAAATGTAAGAAACTGGCCATCCCAGATACACATTTAAAGGAACTGACACACTTTGCATCTCAGGCAGACTGGTCATGGCTTGATGCAGAGTTTTGTAAAAATTCGATTAACCCAACCATCTCTTAGACAAATACATAAAGACCCAGGAAAAAGCTATTATGCATATTAGAATTTATGATGTGTAATCATGTTAAATTTTGGTTTGAGAAGAAACCCTGCTATGTTTTAGTGATTATGTGATAATCTGAAATTATATAGATATTTAGAACCTAGAAATTGTTTAATAAATGTAACACTACCTCAGAAATGTAATTAGATTATCGGCTAATTTCTCACACCTGGTTATAATAAGGAGCCCTGGAAAGAATACTTTCCAGTGGTAAATCCGAAAAGGTCTGGGAAATCAACTGCTAAACTTATCTTCCAAAAAAATTCTTCAGGGCCTACACTGAAGCTCCATAATTACATTCATCTGTTCTGATTCACTCAAGTGCCAAAATATACTCCAAATCAAAATATTGTGAAAATACAAATGCTTGCAATGATTTCACCAAAAAATTGAAAAACCAACTTTATACTTCTCACATACACACATTCAAAAGGTACAGACTAAATGTATCTGTTGGACATTGAGTTCACCAAAAGCTGCCCCTTTACAGGAATCGCTGTGCCCTGTCCTTTCCTGGTAGGGGCTCTCCGCTGACACAAGTCCCTGAGCCCTCAGGACTCCAAGTGAAGGCACGGTGTTAAAATCCTATTGGGCTCCCCCTTCCTCCTTCAAAGGAAAAGCACCACAAAGGCAGCCCATAATCAGTAGTTCCTAACCAAAGCCAAGTTCCATACTGCACTCAGGAGAAAGCAACGCGTCATTCCATTCTGCTTGGTGAACGAAACCAAGGGATTAAAAAGTTTCAGGCGTCCCCAACCGAGGACCAAACTTGGGCTTTCACTAATTGCAAAGCCTAGGAAACTGGAGAAAGCGCCGCCTGTGGAACCCAATCTGAGGTTCGCTTAGGAAAGTCGACCACCCCGACACTGAACTTGCAAGACGGCGTCCGCCCCGCAGCCGTCGGACCCCGGGAGTGCGCCCACCGCGCCCGCTCGCGCCTCCCCGCGCGGCCGGCCGAACACGCCCCGGGGGCGCGGGACTTACCGCACCGCTTGCACAGCACCCTGCTGACCTCCTTCTTGAGGTTCCGGCCCGTCTCGAGAGGGGGGAAAGATGCTCGGAAGGCGGCGGGCGCACGGCTGCTGCTGCTGTTGGCGTCGGGCTCCATGAAGAAGATGTACCTGCTGTCCTCCTTGAGCCTCCCGCAAGAGGGGTAAGCGAGGTGGCCCCAGGCGCCCAGGCGCACGGTGAGCAGCGAGTCCTTCTTCAAGCCCCCGGCTTTCACCGCCCACACCTGGTGCACCTTCACCAGATAGGGCGCCTCGTCCCCTGGGTCGCCGGCGCTGGGCGCTGGGGCGGTGGGCCGGGCGGGCACGGTGCCGTTGGCGGTGGTCAGCGGGTCCTGGGCGGACGGCCCCGGCGCTCCCCGGCCCGCGGCTGGCAGCTGACGCTCGCCTCCCCACGCCCCTGCCTCGCCCGCCGCCGCCTGCCTGTCGAGTGCCCCCTGCCGCCGCGCCGGGTGCACCTTTCCCTCGATCACCACCGCGGCGCGCTGAGCCAGCTCCTGCACCGAGCCCACGCTGGGCGGGGACGAGTAGCACACCGAGGCCCCCGCGGGAGCCGCCTCGTCGCCGGCGGCCGCCCCCGGCGCCAGGGCCGCGATCCCCAGCAGCAGCAGCGGCAGCAGCGGCGGCGGCGAGCGGGTGGCGGGGCCCGGGCGCGGGGCCCGCGGGCCGGCGCCCCCGGAGCGATGCGCGGCGCGTCGCCATCTCATGGTGTGAGGTGCGTGCGAGCTCCGGGCTGTCGGTTCGGACTCTGCCTCGCTCTCACGCTGCCTCCCTTTTCCTTTCTTCTCCCGCCCTCACCCTCCTCCTTTTATTTATTTATTGGGTGAGGGGTTGTCGGAGAGTTGTTTATGGGAGCAGGAGGAGGAGGAGGAAGGGAGGGAGGAGGTGGATGGAACCACAAAGAGGCGAAGAGGTATAAGGGCAAAAAGATAAATAAATAAAAGAAAAGAAAATAGAAAAGGAGAGAGAGGGAAAAAAAAAAAAAGCCGCTGCCACCGCCTGGGTTGCCGGGAGTGACAGGTCCTGCCGGCGCCGGCGCCTCGCCCGAGCCCTGCTGTCGGGGCTGCTGTCACAGGAGGAGGACGTGGAGGTGGAGGAGCTGCTCCGCGGGTAGCAGTCCTTTGTGTGAAGTGATGCTGCGGCGGCGGCTGAGGCTGCGAGCGAGCGGCTGGGCGAGCGCGCGAGGGAGAGCGCCCTGGAGGCGGAGTTGCGTGCCTGGAAATGGCTGGGTGGCCGCGGCGGCAGCGCCCTGCGCCTCGCCAGCCTGTTTACCTGTGCGGCGAACTCGCCCCGCGCCCGCCTTCCCCATGCCGAGGCCGGAGTCGGTGCTCCTCGCCCTCCCTTCCCGCGCCTCCTCCCTCTCCGCCGCCCCGGTTGCTGCAATGGGAGGCCAGGCGGCGAGCAGGCTGCAGTCCGAGTGGGCTGCGCAGCTTTGCTGGGGAGTGAGAGGTGACGCTTCAGTAGTCGGGGACCTGTTACCGGCGCAGGACGCCTGAACGCCGGGCGGGGGGGCGCGCTGACGAGGACCGGGCACCGCTGGGGTCCTGCTTCGGGAAAGTTTTGGGTGAACTGGTTACTTGAGAGTCAAAGGGAGCCACATGTTCCCAGGGGACTAGCAGCAATTAAACAACTTTCTGTCACGCTGGCTCCTTCAGACGCACCACCGTGAGCACTTCGGGGTGACGCCGCGTCCGCTCCCTTCTCCTGTGACACTTGGGTGGTGATTGCCCTCGCCTTTCCCTGTGGAAATTCCCTGCCCGCCTTGATTTTATGACGTGTGGTACTGCTGACATGAACATTGTTGCTCAACAAGGCCGTTTCGTGTAAAGTTTATGGCACTTTGTCAACTAGTCATTGAAAAAAAAAATCTGAGAAATGAAAGAGGCTTCTGTGGCTAATGGAACAAAAGATTCTAGGCATGAGTAGCTGTAGGTTAAATATTGTTCCATCTGAATACCAGCCCCCCACCCTAACTCCACTCCACTCCACCCGTCTCCCTCTCCCAACACCTGTCCTGCAAAATGTCAGGAGCTACTTTTAAGACAAGAATCCATCATCTCCGAGGGATGTTCTTTTCAAGCAAGTACCACTCAACAGAAAGAGAACACATTTGGGTGGAGGGGGCATAAGGGGTGGGTGGATTGAGGACATCTGTAATATTGTCAACAATAAATGTTTTTATTTCTTTTTATTAATTTATTTTTGTTACAGATGTTTCTCTCTCCTCCCTTGACACCCTCCTCCCCGTCCCCTCCACCCTGTCTCCAGCTTTGTTGTCCATGTCCATCGGTTGTGCCTACGTGCATATAAGTTCTGTGGTTTATCTTGTCCCTCTGCCCCCCTCTTCTGAGGGTTGTCAGTCGGAACCCTACTTCCATGTCTCTGGGTTTACCCTGTTCCTCAGACTATTATGTTCAGTATATTCCACAAATAAGTGAGATCATGTGGTATTTGTCTTTCTCTGCTTGGCTTGTTTCACTTAGGATAATCCTCTCCAGGTCCCTCCATGTCATCTCAAAGGATAAGAGATCTTTCTTTCTTACAGTTTCATAGTACTCCGCTGTGTATATGTACCACAGCTTAACAATAAATGTTTTTTAAAGAGAACACATTTTTAGCATTTAAAGGAAAATATTTCTCTTAGGCCCTTTTATGGTGAAAAATATATTCAACGACCTAACAAAATTGAGTTGAAGTTGTTCTTCAATGGCCAATAGGTCCACCGTATGAGAATTAAAGGTTTGAAAAGGACTTAGAGTGAGTGCTTCATAATATTCTTTTTTTTTTTTTTCAAGTCTCATATTATTGGATGGACCATGCATTATCTTTCAAATCACTGAGAGCAGGCTGACACCTGTGGGTGGGGGTAGGGGGCTCTGGGAGTGTGGAGGGACTGAGAAAAAAGAGAAAGAATTCACTGACATGGAAACAGTGTGGTGATTAGGGGGGTGTTGGATGTGGAAGAGGGCGTAGGGGGGATAAATGGTAATGGAAAAAAAATTTTTTAAATCACTGTACATTATTAACTTTTGTGAAACACTGCCTGCATTTTCTAATACAAAAAAACCCCTAAAAACTGCTTTAGGAATGTAGAGAAATATCCAACTTAAATAGGGGGAAAGTGCACCATAATTACTGCCACACTGTAGTCATTTCTGCACTTCCCATGTTTCTTAAATATCAATCTTGTCTGATAATACACAATATAAAGAGCAATTGTAGATAAACAGGCATTTACATATACTTCTAAAGTCTTATTGAGAATATTCTGTTGGCATTGGCTAGCCAATCATAGGTGCATCTGCCGTAGCAGGTATGCACATGCTGTTGGTTTATACCATTGTGCATGTTTGGGACATTACTTCCATATTGCTGAGTACTATCATAACCATCTGGTAAGTCCCTGTTGGACTTCCAGCCCTAAAACTGGTCTATACACCAGCAGACACAGAATTACTTCCAAAGCTGCCACTGGCGTAATTTGTAGCAGTCTAAACACCATTCTGGATTTTGTCCCAAAATCTCTCTTAAGCACACTAGAGTAACCTCTGTCATAATTTTCCCTGCCTCTAAAGGTATTAAATGCACCCCTTTTTACTCCTTTACCCCTTTTTACTCCTTTACCCCTGGCATGACCTGAACCTCTGTCTTCAGCCAACTGAAACAACTTGGGAATCATTGCTTGATTAGCTTCACGAAGCACAGAGAGAAGGTCGCTCACTTGCTCTATATTAGGTGTAAAGAAAGTGTATGCTGTGCCTGTTTTGGTACTGTGAGCAGTTCTTCCAAGTCGATGAATATAATCCTCTGAGGAGTTAGGGTAGTCATAACTGATGACAAATTTCACTTCTCCCATATCTTTATGGTGCTGCAGTGTGGCAAAATAGCAGTCTAAACACCATTCTGGGTTTTGTCCCAAAATCTCCCTTAAGCACACTAGAGTGATGTTCAGAGTTTTGAACACAACAGCCAGACCAAAAGTAAGAACTTGGATAATTGTATTCCCAAGAACGGATGGGCTGCAAAAAAATCAGTTAAAATGGTTATCCACCATGAACACAGACACAGTTCAGTGAAGGACTGTGGGGGATGGGAGCTGGGTGGAGGGGGTCAAAGGGAAGAAGGGGGGGGCACTTGTAATACTTTAAACAATAAACATAAATTTAAAAGAATAAAATAAAATGGGTCCTCACTGGTTTGGCTCAGCGGTTACAGCCCACAGACTAAAGAGGCTCAGGTTAAATTCCCGGTCAAGGGCACTTACCTTAGTTGCATGTTCAATCCCCTGCCCAGGTAGGGTCCTAGAGGAGGCAACCAATCAATGTGTCTCTCTCACATTGATGTTTCTCTCTCTCTCTCTCTCTCTCTCTCTCTCTCCCCCTCCCTCCTCCCTCCCACTCTATCTAAAAAAAAAAAAAATCAATGAAAAAGTGTCCTCCGGTCAGGATTAAATAAATAAAAATGATTATCCATTCCCTATAGGAATACCACTGAAGTTGGAAAAAAAAAAAATCACACATCATCTGTGTGCTATTACCCACCCAATGACAGAGCCTGTCAAAAGGATGTGTATTCCCTAACACATTCCCAAATCAGCAAGTCCCTTTACAGATCAACAAGTGACATCTGAATGCTTCTGTGCAGTAGGGCCACTTAAAGGTTTACAGCAACCCTCATTTTGAGGACCTTTAAACAAAAACGTAACGTACATGGTCTTTTGCATTACACACTCAACAGTTCAAAATTCTGGCCACACTGCTTGTCTTGCCAAGACCTTATAACTGCAGCTTCAAGGAGAACATACCTGTCCCCCAAAAGTTGTTTCTATGCACTGTCTTGTTTAGGCAAGCACTTCCAAGAAGCCAGGACTCACTGGAGAATATGTCTCTCTCTGGCAGGTCTCCACATGATGACTACTGTGTAGGTGGGGGAGCAACTTTCAAAGCATTGCGTGCTTTTTCCACAGACAGGTGTGGGAAGTTGCTCCTGCTCTGGAGCTCATGCGTCAGTGCTCATCAATTTGGAAAACTTTTCAAAACTGCTCTCTCCATTTCAAATTTGAAGAAAATTTCACTGAACATTGAAGTTTGGAAACCTTTCTTCGTCATTTCAGCAAACTCACTGAAATGCAAAGACTCACAGATCACAGTACATAAACAGTTTGAAACAATGCTGTGCCGTGGCAGTCATGCAAAGAATGGGAAGAGGAATGTCAGGGCAGTGAATTGCAAGGATAACTTTCATTCTACCTCCCACCCCGAGAGCATGGTTTACGCTACAGAGGTGCTATGTTCTGCCTTGTGGAGATTACTGGCACACTTTCAGCTTTTCACCTCTCTAAGTGACTGGAAACAGCCAATCTTTAGTTCCCCCACCCCCTCCAGTCCTCTGATTGTCATGCCTAGGCCTTGCCACAAAGACTGCACCTTTATATGGAAGGGGAAAAAAGCTAGCCCTCTGGAAGCCACATATGTAGAAATCAGAAGAAGAGCTTCTCCATGTTTGAATTTATTTAGAACTCAGTCACGTTCCTGTTGACTTGTCACCATGGATACCCGTGGTAGGCCATCCGTCTCTCCTCATTTGTCTAGTAAGTTCACCACATCTTTTGGTTTCAACAAAAACAATGGTTTTATTCTTCTTCTCACTCATTATCTCTTCCATCAGATGAATAAGTTTTGCATGCTTTTCTACATCGTGGCACATC